ATGGATTAAATGTTTTAATGATCAGGGAATGTGTATACAAATACAAGTGTTAAAGAGAGGAATTACCAACCTCATTGATTGTAATCGGTTGAATTTAAATATAACCTATCAGTTACAAAATTTCAGACTAAAGCTCAAGCCGCATCAGTATGATGAGTAAAAAGTCCAATCATATATGTCACCCACAATTAGTGTTACATGATTGCATGTTCATCATACAATCTCTTCTTCATCTATAGGGAAAATGCCGTCGTCTTCTTCTGGGGTAGTTGCCATTCTGTCTACTGACCTTCTTCTCTCTTCTGGGCTAGTTATCATTCTGTCTACTGACCCTCTTCTGCCTATTGACCCTATCTCTATGTTAACATCTGAACTATTACGAACACTTCCTTGGGAAGATTGGTTTTGTACTTCTTGTTTTGCTTTTCGTGCCCAACTAATAAGACGTGTTTGTACTTCCTCAACAAATATCGCCTTGTTAAAGTCACTTCCCATCTACATTCATAAATTCAAAAACATTCTCAATTTCATAAAACTATAATCTTTATGGTTTCAGAAAACAACTCAAACTTACCTGCGTAACAAGTGCATATATTGGTAGGGTACTGCAACTACATAGCATCTGAATAACTACCCTACAGTATGAATAACAAAGTGTAAGAAAAAAGGTTTAAGATTCAAAAGTCACAGGATACAAATATTTAGTATTGTAGTTACCCAATAGTGAGCCTTGGAATACTGTATTGGATTTGTTCCATTATACATGAATGAAAGCCATATGTTACCTGAGATACACAATATATTGTAAGGCTATAATCATTAAAGTAATGAATTGATAAAAGCATGGCAATGAATATTATAAATTGAGGTTGAGAGTAGTCAATTTGTTTACCAGTATCCAGAAAAGGAAGGCTAACTCAAAAGAAATTTCAAAAAGGGTCAACTGAATCAAGTAGAGGATGACACGAGGACGTTTAAACCAGAAGTGATCGTTTGATGGTTGAACTACTAATTCACCTTCTATGGCTGAATTATTTTCAGCTACTTCATGAGCTAATTGAATTATAACATGTTCTAGCTTGGTTCCAACAGCAAGTAGAAACTTAAGAATGCAGATCAGAAAAAGAACAATTTAGATAAAAGGTTTGGAAACCAACCAAAAATTGGAAAATAACAACATTAACTTGAATGAAGAAAAGAGCCAAAAGAAAACAAAAATTATGAACATACTTACAAGAATGGGAAGGAAGGCAATCCAGAAATATGCATGCCAACCTGAAATAGTAAAAATAAATCTTAATTTTAATTGGACAATGACATATCTGTTAATTCAACCAGACTGTCGTATAACCAAGATCAAACTAAACGTGTGAATTCTTGGTTCAACCGGTTGAACTGGACGGCTCAATGCAGTTTTAAGGCATTGTTATAGATAATAATAACTATTATGCTTAAGGTAGAAAATATGGTCAACATGCAGCGCAACCATTGAGAAACAGAACAGAAGTGCCAAGTCTTGTAGCATACCATGGATATTAAGCAACAAAAATATGACCACAAAGATCCAAAGATACCAACTGCAAACATCAAAATAAATTTACACTATAAGTCTACAAAGAAAACCCGGTCAATTAACTACCGATGAAGATTGTGATAATTATAGAAGCTTGACAGAAACAAGTACCTTATACCAACAACTTTCTTGAAGTCTTCTTCAAGTGCACGATTAATGTACTTGTGAAAATTAAACTTTCGATTTCCCCTACAATGAGTCTAAAATAGAGAAACAAAATTAATAATATGGTTCAATCATAGATAATAGAAGCAAATGCAGCACACTATAATCTTACCCTAATGAAGCTTCGCCTTAATATTACATAATCCAACTTTGTCACAGATCCATAAAATTGCTTGAAAAATGATCTCTGAAATAAAAACCAAAATTCAGAAGTAATCATAAACATAATGTCAATAACAACATGATAAAGCCAGTAAAATATGATTAACTTCATACGATTAACCTACCACCCATCCTGATATAGCAGGATTTTTGCCAGAACCAAAAAAGTGATGTTGTATAAATTCATGCTCATGAACATGAGTCACCTCCACCGACCGGTCCCCAGCTGCAATAGACCAGTATTCACATAAAAAAGATTAATTATGACAGAAAAGTATTAAGATTACATTAAATCTGATCAAATTTGTTAGTTTACCATGTTGTGATTGATTGTCTTCTTCGTCTTCAATAATAGAGCGTTCCCAGTGCTTCCATTTACGAATCTGTTATTGACAACAATTCTTATTAATAGAGAAGAGCTTTAAACAAAAAACAGGTTATGATAAAAAAAATCATATGATTAGATACTCACGATTAATCTTCCAAAAACAATAGTCAAAACAGATATGGTCACATGAATAATAGCTAGGACAAAAATAAAGATATGCAGGCGATGCAGTCCTTGCAAAGACAATAGAGGTACCTTTCCCTGAAAATAATTTAATGATAATTCAAAATATGATTAAAGTGGATAATAGGATTAAATCATCAGATTAAAATTGTCTAAATAACATTAAGAGAATAAACATGATATATGACTGTGAGTAGGTTTTACACTGACTTGCACCCTCATGTGATGATAGTCATTAAAACCTTGAACAAAATGAAAAAAGGTGATAACATACACTTTATTTTATAAATTGCACCTTGGATATGAGAATTCGATTCCGAAATCCTATGTATTTAATTTCAATACCTTGGCAGCACAATAGCCATGTTGATCTTCTTCTTTTGATGGGTGATCATGATTATCATTAAGAAGGCGTCTAGCAGTGCCCAAAACATCATTGGAAGAGAAAAATGTCTGAAAATGTGCAATTGGTTTTAATTTTGCAACTGATTTTTCATATTCTCTTTCGTCAAGTTTACAAGGAAGCATATGACGCATGATTTCTTCTGGAACACAGATTTCTACAATCACATTTTGTGCTTGAGCCAGAAATATAGAAGTAAAACCCAACAGCATCAACTCTGCATAGTAATAATATAAATAATAAAAACCAAAAATAAATAAATCATAAAACTAAACATATCTCAATTTTGAAAATCATTAGTTTAATAACAAGTAGAAGAAGAAAAAAGGAAAACCTTCTTTGATTTTTTGTAAGGCTTCAAAGAGTGATTCTTGATTTTTCCTCTTAAGAAACTTGCCAAGATAATGAAGAGAACGTACAAGAGCAAATGAAACGGCAACAATGATAGTGCAAACAAGAGCAACAACCCATGTAGGAGTAAATTGCAAATCGGTTCCTTCTCCACCAGCAGCCATATTGCAGTTTTGGTGTTTGAATTTATCAACATTAACTTACTTAACTACTCTATGCTGTGTTGAAACTGCATCTTTAAACAGAACCGGAAAAGTTCTGCAATCAAATGAATTGAAAATAGTGACTATATTTCATTAGTCTTATACTTATATTTTAATTCAGAACATAGAACATAGAAGAATAACTATCAATGAAGACAGAACATAGAAGGTTGCAGAAAGATGGACACACAACCAAAACGATCAACACAGGCGGATCTTGTTTGTAGCACACAGAAAAATTTAAACATAACCAAAAAGGTCACACACACCAAGATGAACAGACATTTACCAGAGGCAGCGGTAATCTGACGAGATAAGGCAAAGACGGTGGAGAGAGCGCGGAAAAGACGGTGGAGAGAGCGCGGAAAAGACGATCCGCGAGATGCCGGAAATGATGAAATCTTCGTCAACCCTGAAAAGAATGAATTAATCAATCTAACAAGTACAATAAATAACTCATTATAGTTCATCAAGAGTGTACCTAGCCAGAGAGATAAGTTAGTATTGTGATTGAGAAAAAAGCATTACCCTAGGTGGTGAAGTACCATACAGATGTTAACTTTCTTCTAACTGCCTTCCAAATTTAGCATTTCAATATGCAAAACTAGATTCATCACAGAACGAGTTTGCTTTGACAATTCAATTGAACCTAATCAAATTCCAATAACAATACACGAGTTAAATGCGAAACACACAAACCTTTAATACCTTGAACATACACTCCTGAAAATTTCTGTAGATTGCAATGAGAAGAAAGTATGTGATGATTCAATTTCAAGTGTTAATCGTCAGAACACATTTTTATATCAGATTAGATGAGAAAAAAAAACTAAATATAAGCATGCCACGAATGTGATTCTAAATTTAGAGCGACTTACAAAAGCAACAAACAATTAACGTGAAGACGGAGAGAGCAAACTGAAGAAGAACGTCGCCGAAAACGATCTATGGAAACTGGCATTGTGTTTGATCTTGTGTAATCATTGCACCCTATAGGTTTGAGATTTGGAAGTAGATGAGATCCACAGTTTTCCAAGCACGAGCATCTCTAAAGCAGTGAGGTCGGTTTTCATGGCCGTGAACAAAGGGAGGTGCGGTGGTTGAGAGTGGAGGTGGTGAACGGAGAAGAAAACTGAATAGTGAGGTTGTGAGGAATTGAGAGAAAGAGAGAGAAGAAACGGTTATTACAGTTATTGGTTTCTCTTTTCTGTATGTTTTCCACATCCTTCCTATTTTACACCATTTTTTTCTCCAAAATTTACACATTTTATCCCTTCCATCAATTTATTAACTCTCATATTTTTTATGACATGTTAAATATTTGAGTCTAATTGAAAATCATGTCACAATTTATTCATTTCAAATTTAAAATAAAACATTTTAAATATAACATGTGAATATAAATAGAGAAAAAACGAATTTAAAAGTATATACAACTCACACTTTTTTCTCAACAATTTCTTAGCAAGTTCAAGTTCAACTATTCATTCAAACTCCCAACTATAACTTTCATCATTAAAGATTTATGATTGAATTAAAGTATAATCTACCAATTACAAAATTTCATACTAAACTTCAAGTCACAACAAGTGTGAGCAAAAAGTCTAACCATATCATTACATGACTACATTTTCATACAGACTCTTCACCACCTCTATGTACATTAGTGTTGTTTTCTGGGCCAGGTGTTCTTCTAAAAGCTGACCCTAACTGAATACCAACACTTCCACCATTATTATGAGAACTTCCTTGGCCAGATTGGCTATTATTACCTCTTAACCCTTTCTTCTTTGCCTTTTGTGCCCAACCAGCAAGACGAACTTGTACTTGTTCATCAAATATAGCATTCTTAAAATTAGTTCCCATCTACGTTATGAAAAAAAAAAGATCCATCTCAAATCAATATCAGAATAGAACTAAATATTTATTTATGTTTCGGAAAAAAAAAAACTCAAACTTACCTGTGTGACAATTGCATATAGTGGTAAAGTACTATAACTACATAGCACCTGAATAAATACCCTTCAATAATAATAAAAAGGCATAAGAAAAAAGGATAGACAAAATCAAGATTCAAAATGCACATAGAAATAGTCACATTCTTTAAAACAATGACGACTCTGAACAAAAATGTGTCTGATATCTGACATGCGTTAGTGTTAGTGTTATGTAAGGTGTCTGTGTTTGTATCAGTGTTTCATAGATAAAAATATATAAAAATGTAGAATTGTAGTTACCCAATAACGAGCCTTGGGACGCTGTAACGAAGCTCTCCCATTATACATGAGTTAAAGCCATATGTTACCTAAGATACATATCATAGGTTGGTGATGTTATAATGATTGAAGTAATGAAGATAGAAAGTAAAAGTATAGGACTAATTAATATGTTTACTTACCCAAATCCAGAAAAAGTATGCAATCTCGAAAGAATTTTGGAAAAGGATCAAGTGAATTAAGAAGAGGACGATGCGAGGACGATGAAACCAGAAGTGATCATCCGATGGTTGAACAACTAGTTCACCTTGTATGGCTGAATGTTTTTCAGCTACTTCATGAGCTAATTGAATTATTACATGTTCTAGCTTTGTTCCAACAGCAAGTAGAAGCTGAAGAAATCCAAACAAGAATAATAAAAAGTTAAGATTAAAAGGTTTTGATATGGAAAACTGTAAAAGAATTAATAATGTCAATAGAAAGTTAAGAAGACGCTTACGATGACAGGAATGAAAGCAATCCAAAAATACGCATGCCAACCTGAAACAATAAACATGAAAAGTTGAATCTCAATTCATAACACCAATATGGTTTAAACCTAGTTCAACCTGATCGTGGTATAATCAGGTTCAAACAAATGGTGAACTAGCCGATATCCGGTTAACTAGTTGAACCGGACGGGTTTTTATATATATATATACACATCATGCAACATAACTATTGAGAAACAGAACAAAAGTGCCAAGTCTTGTAACATACATACCGTTGACATTAAGCAACATAAATATGACCACAAAGATCCAAAGGTACCAACTGCAAAACATCAAAACAAAATGGTGAATTAGTGATAAGACATTATGAGAATTACAGAAGTTTGATGAAAGAACATACCTAATACCGACGACTTTCTTGAAATCATCTTCGAGTGCGCGGTTCATGTACTTGTGAAAATTAAACTTTGGGTTTGTCTTACAATGAGTCTAAATCAGAGAAACAAAATCAATTATATAGTTCAAAGATTCAATCATAGATAATGGCAAGATCAACACACTCTAATTAATCTTACCATAATGAAACCAAGTCTTAGTGTCACATAATCCAACTTCGTCACAGATCCGTAAAATTGCTTGAAAAACGATCTCTAAAATAAAAACCAAAAATTAGAACTAATCATAAACATAATATCAATAACAATATGGTAAAATTAAAACCAGTAAAAGTTAATTAATTAGATATAATTAACTTACCACCCATCCCATTATAGTAGAATCTTTGCCAAAACCAGTAAAATGACTTTGTATAAACTCGTGCTGATGAACATGAGTCACCGATTCCATCCGTTCCGGAGCTGCATTAGACCGAAAAATATTAATCATGACAGAAAAGATTAAGATCACAACATAAGTTCATAACGGATCAAATTTCTTAATATACCATGCTGTGATTCAATGTTTTCATCAGTAGCAATAGAATCTTCCCAATGCTTCCAGCGACGAATCTATAAACATCAACAATTCTTATTAATACAGAATCACTTTTAACAAAAGCACAGCTTATAATTAAAAAAGTTATATGATTAGATTAGATACTCACATTTAATCCTCCAAAAATTATAGTCAAAACACACGAAGTCACATGCACAACAGCTAGAACAAAAATAAATATATGCAGATGATGCAGTGCTTCCACAGCTAACAGAGGCACCTTTCCCTGAAAAATAACAGAATCATAAAATATAACCGCGCAACCGTTATTTAAAACCGTCCATAACAGAAGAATCTTCTATGCAAAATTTTCCTAATTATTGAAGTCTTATAAAACTATATCCAATACCTTGGCAGCACAGTATCCAAGTTTCTCATGCGTTGCTGGACGATCATTGCTCTCGTCAGCTAGAAGGCGCCGAGCCGCGCTAAAAACATCATTGGAAGAGAAAAATCTCTGAAAATGTGAAGTAGAAGATAATTTTGATTCTTTTTTTTCTTTCTCGTCGAGACTACAAGGAAGCATATGAAGAGTCCAACTTTCTCGAACACAGATTTTTGTGATTCCATTTTGTGTTACAGTCAAAAACAAAGAAATAAAACCCAATACCATCAACTCTACAAAACATAAACAACAACAACAAAAGTCATAATAAAAAGCTATAACATAATCCAATTTTCAAAAGAAAAGAAAAAATAAAGAACCTTCTTTGATTTTTTGTAAGGCTTGAAAAAGTGCTTTCTGGTTTTTCTTCTTAAGATACTTGCCAAGACGATGAAGAGAACGTTCAACAGCAAAAGAAACAGCAACAATGATAGTGCAAACAAGAGCAACAACCCATGTTGGAGTAAACTGTAAATCACTTCCTTCACCTTCTCCACCACCACTCATGTTGATGAATTTTTAGTGTTTGAATTAAAACAACATTCATTAAATTATATTATGGGTGTGATGTTTGGAACATTAACCTTTGACGTGTAGAAAATATAACGTTGGTACTACAAGCGAATGGTCTATTTTATAGTCAAATTTATCGATATAGATAAAACTTTCAAATTAAGAGAAAAGTTCATGCCAAGACAAAAAATTTCTATAAGTGTAAAATCTTACATGCTAAGGTTTCACACTTTTTAATAAAAAGAGATTTCATACTTTCATTCTAGATTTTTAATCTTGTAAAGAGAATAGTTCTTTGGTAAAAAGAGATTAATTAATTTGTGGTGTATTTTATTTAATAATTTTTTATTTAATAAATCAGACCATTCAATTTCACAAGGGACAAATCATTTAAAATTAGACATAACATCAATTTTAAGAATAAAAATATTTTTAAAAAAAAGTATTTAAATTTAAAATAGAGATATTTACAAATCAATTAAAATAGAGGATAATTATATAATTAATTGTGCATTACAGTATAAAACAATATAAAATCTAGAAATAATTATTAAAAAAAATTAAAAAGAACGAAGGGAGAAAAAGTATAAAAGAAAATTCAATGCATTAAATTAATAATAAAATATAATTATAAAATGAATGAGTCGCGTAATGCATGTATTTTCTTCTTTTGGTACAATACGCGTAATACAATTACTTGCGAATTGCAATATAGTTTGAGAACGAAAATAAGAATACTAATAAGGAAATTATCATTAAATTTACTTTTAATTTTCAAACTTTTAAATGAGGTTACTATTCAATGAATACTGAATTATGATTAAAAAAATTTACTATAAATTAGTTAAAACTATTTTATGATATAATATTAATTTATATGTTTATTTCTTCTCTCTTATTATTTATATGCATATTCATTTTAATCTTTATTATTAATTATAAAAGAAAAATATATATAAACCGACAATACAAAATATTTTTACACTTTCAACTAATAAAAAAATATATTTTTTGCCAAATCACTCTTTAAATTTTAACATCCTATCCACTAAATCATTATTTTAATTTTAAAATACTGACATAAAATGGCTGAATAATAAAATTCTAATGAATGATAGTGTAAAATTATTTTACACCTAATTGTACGTCATCTTTAATTTTTAAATATAATTAAAAAAATTATATTTAATAATTTGAAATATAATAGCAATTTCTTAAAGCGTTTTTTAATTAACATGAGTTTCATTCTTAAAGCAAATTTTATTTTCATAAAAACAAGTTTTTTTTTTAACTTAAGAAAATACAATAAGTTTTTATTATATAGATATAATTATAAATTGTGGAGAGGCCTGCACATCACCCATTGTCTTTGGTCTTGGTCTTTGAAATTGACTGTTGCATCAATAATAACGATGATGAAGTCAAGCTTGCACCGTGTTTATTTACTTTCGTCACTTTGTATAAACAAACTATTCTTCCCGTCAAAGAAATAAAAAACTCTATTCTTCCCGTCAATTGATAATAGCTATACGGAGCATCTGATATATAACTTTGTTCTTTTAATTTTTTAATTTAATTTAATATTTTATTTTAATCTCGTATATAAAAAATATTATATATTAGTTTTTTAAAATAATTTTATTAATTTAATTAGTTATTTTTGTTAAATTTTGTAAAGAAAAAAAGTTTACTTTTACCTATACGATAATATAGGAAATTTTTTTATCTACATGAATTTAATTTTTTGAAATTATTTGGCTTTATTGCTCTTCTCTATTAAATTGTGTTTGGTTTTTGGTAGATGAATGGGAGGAGGGGAATTTTAATTAAATATATTTGGTTCAAATTTTAGGAGGGAAAGAGAGTAAAATCTCTCCAAAACACATTTTTTTGTTCTCTCCAAATTGGAGAGATTTGGAATGGAGAGATGAGAATATGGGTTTTGATATTTAAAAAATATTATATTTACTAAAATATTTTCAATTTAATTTTAGTATTTCAAAATTATTCGTCTTTTTTCGTATTACTGTTTTTTTTTATTGTTTCCATTAACTTATTATAATTGTTCTTCACCTTCAAATTATTTTATAATTTTTATACTTAATATAAATTATAATCATTGTCTTTTTTTTATAAAAAAAATTATGATTAGTTATATTTGTTTTTTTCTTTTAATTTTGTTATGTATTCTATCATATTTTCTTTTATATCAAATTGTAAATTATTCATTTTATTTATTTATTTTATTAAATATTTTGAACCATTAACATTTAATGATAAATTATTTTATATATTTGTTTTGTTAGATGATTCATCACAATTTAAACGATGTTATCAAGTTTAATTTATGTTGAAAAGTTATAAGTTGAATCAATTGTATTCAATTTTTTAACGTTATGTGGCAAATAAACACTTTTTTAGTCACTCAATATTAGAAATTTTATTATCAAAAAAAAAATACGCATGAATTTTTCACATTTGAATATCATATGACTATATAAGATCATAAGGATAAAAATATAAATTATTAATAAAACTCCTCCCCTCCCAAATCAAACACATTTTAAACTAAAATTTCTCCCCTCTCCTCTTTTGAATCAAACACTTATCTGATTAAAAAAAACTCCACCCATGTTCTCTCTCATTCCCTCCATTAAAATCTCTCCCCTTTCCTCCCCCTCATTTGAACCAAACAGACCCTTAACTTCCAAATTCCTCTCTTTCTCTTTTCCCTTCTCAAAAACTCTAGCAGTCACATTCTTCTTTCTTCCTCTCTTACGAACTCCTCATTTTCTTCAGATCTTGAATTAAATATTTCTCTACACAAAGCCAACATTTCAAGAACACATTGGTTTAAAATCTCACCGTTTAAACTAGTGTTGGGCGTGAGGGGGTGTGTTAGGAAGATCCTAAAGTCCCACATTGGTTGGAGATAGAGCATTGAAATAGTTTATATAGAGTGACACCCATTATCTTACCAACTAGTTTTGTAAGATTGTGTTAGGCTAAACTCTAATATGTAGATTTAATTTGTGGTTGATTCTTACTTTATGTTTTTTGTCTCAACGCTACAGAGAATTCTCCTAAACATGTTAGTGTTGGATTACCAAAAGCAGAAGAGTTGAAGAGGCTAAGTACTTCAAACCCTATTTTGTTAGTGTTGGTTAAAGTTTCATTTTTTTGTGTGGATTGTTTGAAATTTTTACAAATGAAAGGGTTAATCTGTAAAGGGTTAGTGAGTTTTGGTTAGAATTCAATTATTGTTTGTTGCTTTTTTCAGATAAGTCGGTTGATAGATTTGATTATTCACAGTCTTTACAATCACAAGGAGGTTTTTCTCGAGAACTTGTGAGGTAATTTGAAATTTTACATTTGTACTAATTTGCTAGTTAATGAGTTAATCAACATCTCTTACACAAAACTTTGCTAGTTAACCAACGTCTCATCAAGAAGATCCCAACAGTTATCATTGAAATTGAGAATGTTGTTAATTATGGTCTGGTGTTCTTTAAAAATTGTTGACTGATCTTGATCATCTCCTTTATATGCTCTTTTTGCTTAGGTTGTTGCAAGCATGAATTTTCATGTGCTTTATAATATATATATTCATATTCATTCTCGTACTTTAGTTACTGCTTCACTTAATTCAAATCATAGACATATGCATCTTTGTTCAAAAAATATGGATATTGTTTCTCCATGGTTTAATTGCTCTTCAGGAAATTTGATGTTTGGTTCATCTATATGTATGTAGAGTTTGTATAATGAAGGTTGCAGAAAATTTTGGCTTCACAATACCAGACTCTTTGGCTGTCTTCCTAAATTTACCGCACTGTCAGACAAGAAAGACCCCGATTTATTTAGATGCATTTCTAGTTACAATTCTACTGTAAGATTGTTTAACAAAGTGTTGTATCATTCGGGTCAGAAACTAAGAATGGAGTTGAAGAATGCTACATTAGTCTATGTTGATATTTATGCCATTAAGAATTATCCCATCGCAAATGGCACCAAATATGGTAATTCAAACAAACACTTTCTTCTCATTAAGTATTGATTATTATTCGGCTCATGGAAAATAATATAACATCATGCTTGTTTTAGTTCAAGTTTCCACTTGATGCGGACATGTAAAAATGCTTTTCAATACTGTCGCATGTTATTATTATCATATGACTGATGCAGTTTTTTCGAAAATTTACATGTATTAATGATTTTTTTAAACAATATCCCCATTAAATTTATGAAAAATGCTTATCGGTTAAGAAAACATGAAAAAAAAAAAAAAAAAAAAAAGTCAATCATTCATTATCACTACTACCTTATGATCTCTATTAAAATGAAAATTAAATTTAAAATTTTACTCTAACATAATCATTCTTACATTTATTCTCTAATTTGCTTTGTAAAATTAACACTATTCTAAATTTATATATGAAAAGTTTGTTTTTTATTTCTTGTAATATTATTAAGGGTTAAATATACGATATTCTCTCTAATATATGTGATATATGATGTATAACTTTGTAATATAATTTTTTTTATTCCCCTTTGTTCTCTACCAAATTAAACTAAATGTTGATATAATTACCACTGTTATCCTCTTATACAGGAAGCAAAAACGACAGAGGCAGAGGAGAGAAGATCTAGTGAAAGAAGAAGGTTGGAAAGAAGATCGTGAACCATTCATTTCGGTATTTGGTATGTTGTAACAAACATTGTTGTAAGCAGGGGTAGAGATTTTTCTGCGTTACATTTTTGCATTAGAGCATGGATGATACAATGTGTATTCTCACAAATGAAAAGAAATTTCTACTGATTCAGCTGGTCTTATTGCTCGCATGTTGATACATTACATAGGCCTTAACTCTTCATGGCCGTGTGCAAAGAAACACACTCTGCATTGCTGCATGTTTTTTAAGTCCCACATGGAAAATTTTCACCAAATGAAAATGTTTCTAAATCTCTTTTACATAATAGATACCTTTACCATT